GTCTCATGGTTCTCATCATCGTTTTACCTCTGTTGCTTTCAGATCTGAAAAGTAATGAAATATAAACCGACCACACTGCAAAACAATTTCTTAAAAGTGCTTAAAAGATAAGTTCATATTTTTTCTTTTAGTACAATACTTGTACACCTGTATGTATATTAAAACAGTTTTAATTAACAGTTGCTGTCCATTCTTGCTGTGGAAAGATCAGTTTTGGTGCGAGTAACATTGGACAACATTGGAGTCCTTGTCTAGTATTTGTAAAAATGTCTTTTATGCATATGCAAGTCTTCTAGAGCTAGAGCTTTTTGTAACAGTTCCTTCACCTCTCCATAAGGTGTTTCCTTACTGACCTGCAGTGGAGGGATACTGTAAGGCAAGATAAATTCCAAGCATCATAGTAACTTCTGGGTGTATTAAAATGTATTTTTCCACAGGACTCTAGATGTTTTTCCCCTATCGCTAACACTGAAATTGTGTTAGAAGGCACTCTTTTCATGTGCAGTATAGAAGAAATGCAGCAGCCAGTAACTTCATCAGTGTAAATGAAAAACATGAGAAACCTGAACAAATGTGAACCTATACTTTAATAGGTTTTCAAAGTCGTTGGGCAGATTGAAAAGCTTAAGGCCAATAGTTTCCACATCCATGTATCCACTATGGTCCAGTGACATAAATTTTGTCTCACTGGTAAAACACACTGGAAGTGTTTTCTACGCACATTTCACGCCCATCTCACACTGCAGATAGAATTCCATTATATTAAATAAGTCAATCCCACACTGAATTTGTGAGATGCGCATCTACCATGCGCATGTTTATTTTTTCCCCTCTATTACATTTAGTGCAGCATAATCTCCACAGCCTCACAAATCCTGTTTGTGGTTCCACTGGTATCTGTTACCACTGATCAGGCTGCTTGAGTTTCATTTTCACTTTCTCCCTCTGTAACGAGCTGGGGAAAATCAATAAAATAAATAAATTGATAGGCTACATTTCTTTTTGATGATCTCAAATGAAAACTAGAACATTTGTGTTGTTGGTTGGCCTGGTAAAGATTCTTTGTCCCGCTGCTGTGCTGCTGTCAGAAAGACAGCTGCTCTGATGACTTTAAACACTCAGAATGCGCTGCTCACATCTCGTTTTCAGTGTGGATTGAATGGAATCACACTTACAGGTCTTACTTTCAGTGTGTTTTACCAGTCAGGCCCACGAGAGTCTGCACAGACTCTGTACAGACATCTGCATGGAGTATGAAAAGCCGTTTAGCCTATGTCAGAAGTTTTCAACTGATTGTGACAAGGGACCGCCACTGTGAATAAGAATCTGAGGACCACTGCTGTATGGTGGCTAGACCATATGGGCACTGTTTTAATCTTTAAAGTCAAATTGACTGTTCAAAATTGTATGTATTTGCATGAATTTGATTATTAAAATAAATTAAATAAATTGATTCCCATAGGGTAATTACATTATTGAACTCATGGCCAAAAACCAATTGCAATGCCTTTGCAAACCACCAGAGGGCCGAAAACCACTGGTTGAAAACCCCTGGCCTATGTATTACAGTACCTGTTCTAGTCCTGACAAGCATATCAGCCAGGTAGATTAGGTCAGAGGTGAAGTCCAAGATAATCCAGTAAACGAGGTAGTTATGCTGCAGCTCCTCAAAGCAAGCCCTGTTTGCATGAGAAGAGTTTTAACTAACATCTGTCTTATTCTGCTACAAGCTGCAGCTGATGTGGTGATAAGTTCAAAGAATTCAAATTACATAACTGAAATTGTCATAAAAAACATGGCTTTTTTCACTCCTGCACAAAGTCATGATTTGTAATAGCTTAATTTAGACTAGGACATTAATAGCACTTAATGGTGCAGAATGGAAACATATAAACACTGACCTAAAGGAAAATTAGTGCTGAAAAAGAATAAGTGATTCATAGAAATCACCTGGCTATGATCATGGTCCAGTTGTACATGACTGGCAATGTGATGATAAATAGCCAGTAATAATACAAATTCCCAGATGGATTAATGACAAACAATTCTTTGGGCCTATGAAATGAGAGGAGAGAAGTAAAGATTAAATTTCCTGAAGTATACAGCATTTGAAAAGGTGTTTAAAAAAGTTGCCTAAATGATGTACTTACGTTTCTTTGTCCTGTTCCTTCTCTTTTTCTTTTGCCTCATTTTCTTCCCTTTTCTTCACCTTTTCCATTTTCCTGTAATGTGAATCAATGTATTAGTAAAAACTGCGCCAGCAGTTTATATTATAGCAATATTTACTAGAAAGTTTACTTTATTTCTTTTTTCTTTTTCTACCTTGAAAAAAGTTAACACATTTAATAGCCATGATTAAACTGAATTTAAGAACCATCAATAAGGACATGTTCACTTATCTTTTTGTGAATCTGTAAGTGTACTTACTCTTCATTGTTGTTACTGTTATTCACATTGAGCAGACATTGAGGATTTGACTGAGGCGTAGTTCTAAAAATAAATGCAGTACATTACACACACACAGTGAAGTTACCCCTGGCAAGTCTTGTCATTTCTTATTAATATTTTGAATTAACATTACTGCAAATATATTTTTGAAATTGTGCTTACATGTTATCCTCACTGTTGTCTGCATTGTCAGTGGTAAGTTGTGGTGCATTGTGAGGTGGCACAGTGAGGTGGGGAAGGGTGGTGGTCATGGCAGCAGATCTGCAGTCTATCCTGCAACGATAAGTGAAAATTTTGTATAAGGAAGAAATCCCAATTCCCTTAACTGCATCCATGTTTCCCTCACTTGTGTCGTTTCCTTGTGTCATAGCCCCACTCACGTAAGACGTGAGGACAAGGCACAAGGAGATGATGTGAGAAAAGAGAGGACTTGAGGAAACACTTTTTTTTTTACATAAATGAGGCATCCGTTCCTATGATCCTTCATCTGAAGTGTCCACTCACCAATTGCTTTCCAATAAGGAGGTGTGTCAGTCCATGAAAGACTGTTTATGCTTTATTATGTTTATCGCTACACTGTTTTCAAATCATCTGCAGCCATTCGCACTGCCGTCCAATCCAATCTAATCCAATTCTAATATTCTGATCCCCTCGTAAGGAGAAATCTTAAGACACCACTGAATATATTACAGTTCAGTACAACAGCACCTTTAACTATAACCTTAGTAATAAACATACATAAAATTATTCAACCAAATGCTGAATTGCATTCAGTTGTACAGGTGTATCTAATAAATTGCTTGGCGAGTGTATGTCCTGGCCTTCATATCAGGTAAAAAAAGAAAAAGTAAAGAGAGCTGTGTGAACCAGAAGACATTCAAAGTTGAGTAAAAGTCTAACAGATGAGTTGAGAAACGTTCCACTATGCAATTATGGAAATACAGCATAATTCAATCATTTCATGTAAATAAACTTACCCTCTCCACTTGCTAATGTAATACGAAGTCCATTTTCTTTGATCCTCGTGTAATTTTTTTTTTTGTAATCAATTGATAATTTTAATTTTTTTAGACCTTGAAGCTGGCCACTCCCAAGAGCCACAGATTCACTGTATCAATCATTGTACACCAATTAAAATAATATCAGAACATAACTAGATAACTGACATCTACAGTATAAGCACAGAGTCCAGCTAACTGTGTCATAGAGCCTCAGTGACCCTGATAAGGATTTGTGGATTAGAATTGGATAAGAAGAAGAGAGGCAAAGACACTCATCCTCCTTATTTATCCATTCCACCGGGAAATATGGTCAAGTGAAGTTTAGAAATCCTCATTTAACCTGTCAGTGAGGATTCACAACACTGAAAACCATTTACTGTAGCGGTGATGGTTTTTTTTAAATCTGTCTGAGGTTATGATTTTCTTGACTATTTGGGAAAAGCAGAGGATTTAGTCTGCTGGTACACACACACACACACACACACACACACACACACACACACACAAACAGCTCAGTCAGCACTCTCAGCCATATCCAGCACTGATCCTATTAGGCTGCGCCAGGTTTTACAGCTTTCATATCAGGTGGATCCAATTCTTTTATATGAATAAGAATTGTGGGAGTGAAATTACAATCTGAACCTCTGTCAGCATTGTGTTGTGCCCTGAGAGCAGTACCTCCTCCCTGGGGTACTACAGACGTCCTGAGGTTCAGTGGCTCTCCCTGTTGGCTGATGTGATGTTTGCAGTTTCATAGTGTGAATTTATGGTGATGAGAGTGTGAGGCGTGTTCGTTTTACATTGAAAAGAGAAGACTAATAAGAGGATATATAATTCACAGTGTGAAATTTATTATGCATTAACATATCAAAATTAACATGTGCACATGGATCTTCACTGTTTAGGATTAAACAGAAAAGACTGACCTCAACTTGTCAGTATACAATATTTGTATGAAAAGGTGCTACTATCTAATTGGTCCAAAACTATTGGGGAGAAGCCGTGGTTTAGACTAAACTCTCCCGTTATTGGTCCTTCAGTCCGTCCGTCCTCCAATCGTCCTCTCTGCTCCAATCATCGTGGACAGCGCCCTACAAAGGGGAAGAATACCTGTTCTACTTTAATTCCTACATACACACTCACTTCTTCCTTTGTTTTCAACTAACTGCTCTATATTACGCATTGCTTTCCGTTTCACTTAATTAAAACTGTTCTGCCTGCGTGTGTGTGTGTGCATAACTGTTCTCCCTTTGAAGCTCTCTCATCTACGTCTATTCTATTTTAATAAACTTGGAGCCTTACCGTACCAAGACTCCTTTGGGTCCACCGATCCAGAGGAACGATAAGTAACTATGAGCCCCCTTAGTTTCAGCCATAAATCTAATGAAATTCAGTAATTTAGTGGACAAGACTTATGATGTTGCATTAGTGTTTCAGTGACTCACATAGCAAATATTTGACCAGTGGTTCAGTGAACACATAGGGTGATATTCATAACTATATAAACATAACAGTGACATATAAGTATGCAAACTTATGTGTGCAATAGAATAAAACCATTCTTAAGTGCATAAAATAAAAATCACCCTAACAAGAGCAGCAGGAGTTGTCACCAGCTACTTTTTCTAAATGCATGTTTGCTTTTATTTAATAGTGCAGGACTCTTTCATGGGAGACAGGAAAGTACAGGGGTAAATGATAAAATTAACAACAACTCTATTAGCTTCTTCAGTTTCACTATCCTAGTGTTATAGTAATATTAGTAACACATGCTTTTCCTAAATTAACACCCACAAATATTTATGTTGAAAAAAAAAACTATTGACAGCATAGAGGGAAAGGAGACAAATGTTTTTCAACTGATTCAAACTGGGAACATCACAGTTATATGCTACTCATAACCACAATTTTCTTTTAAATATGACAAATCAACTGAATTTCAATTGCATAATTGTCTTTGATTAAAGACGGGAAAAAACCTTTTAGAATTGTCCAATTTTGGACTGAAAACACACTTTGTTTTGTTGTGCAAAGACCATTGCAAACTTTTTTTTCATATCGTTACATATTTCATTTGGTCTATTTTCAGCATGCTATACCTCATTCATTCTTGTGTGGTGCACCTACCTGTTTTTAATGCTAGTACAAGTAAAATGCACACCATCAAATCTCTTTAGTAGGTGAGTAGGATAGGTAGGTGAATAGTGCTAGCAAAAGGATCAATGTTTGCTGGTATTAAGAGGAAGCTGACTACAATGTAGCAGTTGTGTCAGTTCTAGGGGGCAGCGGGAGCAGCAGGTGCTGCAGCTTTGGGGGCATGATTCCCGTCCTGTGCATGGAAAACAGAAGGGAAATAACTTAGTTATTTTTTTTATTTAAGAACTGAATTGCTGTAGTACATTGCATATGAAAATGCTATGTGTTTGTTTCCCCAGTCAAAAAAAAAAGGTTACACTCCAGTTAGCTGTTCAGTTTCATGTGCATGTTGGCACTCTGTTACAGGAGCCATTGTTAATATGTATAATACATGCTTTCTACTATGAGGAATCACATTATCTGCTGTGCAAAAGGCCTATTAGCTGAAAGTAAAGTTCAGCCAAATCTTAAAGACCCAAGGGTTTTTTGTTTTGTTTTTAACACTGCCTTTTTCTGGATTTGTTCTGAAGGGAAGCATACACTGCAAATATTTTTTTAAGGGAGACTATCTAACCATAGTCATAATGTACTGTGTGCTTATTTTAGTTTTCTACCTTCTGCATGAGTAACAGGCAGTGCTATTCATGTGCAAACCATAGTAAACGTTACACGATCCTATAAACTACTGAACTGAAATAAATTTTGGAGAAAATATCTCCTTCCAGTCAGGGAGAAATGTATCAGCAAATCTACATACATTGTTTATTTCTATAAAATGTGAAAAAAAACCCAATTCTCTCTGTGGTTTCATATATGAATATGTTTGCTCACCTAAGTCTCCTCTGATGCATCGTCAACAAGCACAGGAGCTGGACGGGGGACATTATCTGGCTGGGCCGGTGTAGCACGCACCTGCATAAATAAAACACCTTTAACTCAAACAGCATATTAACTTGTGACAGATTAGGTGTCACAGTGCTACAGTATATGAGTGCTTACTACTGCTGTCCCAGCTCCATGAGCCTAAATGAGTGTGTAATTCATAAGTATAACACGATCCTCAGTTATCATTCCAGGAATTAGTTTATGTGTAAAAAATTAACACTCTGCAAATCATTATTATGATAGAGTTTAGCAAGAAATACTACTTACAGGAGCATTACCAACAGGAAGGAAAGGGTTTCTAAGTAGTCTCTGAAAAAATACGGATGAATGATTATGATTAATGCCAAACTATCAGATTTCTTTTCTTGTTTACTACAGTGAACTCCCTCTACCTGCTGCTGGTACAGCCTGTACATCTCCATCCACCTCAGGGCTGCATTGGCATGTGCTGCAACCTGCTGAAGAAATACCAGACATCTCTAGGCATGTGCGGCAGTTAAACTAATGATCCTTTCTCTGTCAGACATCTATCATTCTGTATGACGTGACAAAAATATGGTATGACATGCCACAGGAGACAGGTAAACACAAACTAAACTTCACAGAAAAGCAGAAAACCCCTCTTACCTCCTTGTTTTCATCATCTGGAGCCTGCAAATTAAGAAAACAAAATAGTTTATTGCAGCGTCATAAAGAACAATAACGTTTAAATGTTTAGAATGGCAGATAGGTCAGCAGATTAAGGGAAATAACATAAGGACAGATTTACAGGGGCAGCCAAGGTAGTTGCCAGCAGACACATCATGAACACCAACAGCTTCACCATGACTCTTCCTAGAGGAAAACACACATAACATATTAAAAATGCTTTCTTAACTTCCTTTGATAAATAAAAAACCACATTGTTACAATTAAAATTAAGGAAAGACAACTGACTACAAGACCTATAGCATCTGCAGGAATAAGTTTCAGCAAGTGTAAAATTGCCACGCTATTAAATCCATCACCTTTTTCCTGGTGCAGAGAGCAGTTGAATATGTCTCTACTTGGAGAATGAGGGTAATCTGCTTCATCTCTAACTTGGAAGCTATTTATGTACCAGAGTGTCCTGTAACAGCCAATCACATTCAATAAAACACCCAGAGCAACGCATGTGTCTGAACAAATCTTACACTTCATAGCTAAAAAAAAAGGGGCATGCAGAATGAAGGTCCTTCTTAAAGTTGATGTACAAGTATGCTTAGCACCCAGGACCCTCTTTTATTAACCTAAAACCAAACTTTAAAAACATAACAAAAAAGTTAATTCATGAAACATTTCACATACAAAGACAAAATTAGAGAAAAGGCCAAAAGTAAATACAGGTCTGTGCAGCAGATCATTTTTCCTGTCCTCCTCTTATAATCATTCCACGACCCTCCAGATTTACCTCCCGACAGTCAGGAGGGGACCTGACCTATAGGTTGGGAACCCCAAGACTAGACTATTATGTAACTATAAACAAAACTAGTGCTGATCTTTGTGTGTGTTCTAGCTGGTGTGGTCATACATCACATTGAACATTACAGATTTCTTGTTTATTTTTGTGGTTCTAGATCAGATAATGAAAAACTTACTATAGTCACCAAGCTGTATATATTCTTGCCTCAAATCTGCAAAGCTTTGATAAGAGCTTCACTAAGCTAATTGCTTTGTCAGCTACAAAACTTACTGTTAACATCTTGGCACTCGCACTATGTAGAGAAAGAGCCATCATACGTAGCTGTGGTAAGTGAAATTATGGTTTTTAAACTTGTCAGTATGTCCTCAGCTGTGGATATGAGTCTGTGATCTAAAGCTCCAGGAACTGAGACATATGAAAAGACAGCCACATCATGACAGGTGGTGCCTGTGTATATTAAATGTCTTTGCAAAGACGAGTGTTAAGTCATGTTGTGACTAGCATTTGTCCTCAGGTGAGTGAGGAGCAGGATGATCTTTCCGTTTATGGTTTTTTTTTTTTAAGACAGTTACATTTTACTGTGGGGAAATTAGATCAACCACTGTGATGAAACATTCAATCTGTGTTATATTTATGATTTACCATTGTCTATACAGCACAACACCAGCTTTAACTATGACCTCAATAATAATTTATACCTCTATGATCATTTAAAAGCAAATACTCTGAGCTTAAATGGGCATCAAGGCAGAGGTGTTGCATTGGATTGTACCTAATAAAGTGGCAGGTGAAGAAATTATAGTAAGCTGTCACATTAACACCTTCTAAAGAGCACCAATTTTATTGTTAGGAACCAAGTCAAATCAACCATTTCATGAACATGTTTAATGTTAATCTTATGAAAATGAAATTAATGAGGCTGCTGTATCACCAACACATTCAAATTGGATATTGCCTGAATATGAGGGTCCAAAGTTTGTAGTAAGGGCAAAAACTCAAGATTCAGACTCCACTGGACAAACCAAACCATATTGTTTTTAAGTCTAAAAAGGGGTTTAATGACACTAAACAACCAGTGCACTGAACAGAGACACAAACTGAAAAACAATACTTAAGCAGATATCATCGCTCAGGACAATAACTGGGCTTAAGCACAAATATAAAAGAAACAAGAGTCTTGCAGAGTGCTAGTCAGATACAAACAGAACACAGAACTAGGAGCTGGATTGTGGCAAGTATACACCAAACAACACAAGGCCAACAGCCAAAGAACAACTAAACAATAGAGAATTCCAAACTAAGGTGAGAATTATATAAAAAAAATGAACAAGAAACAAGTCAGAGACTACTCTGTGACAACAAAACTCACAGAGAGTGGCAGTTTTACATAATATATTAACTCTGTAGCAGATGAGGAGAGGGGAGAAGGCACAAACAGCTCAGGGCACAGGAATGGAATGAGAAACAGACCAATCAAAATGATAACAGAGTGCTGGGAAGCGGAGTCATTGGCATTCAGGGCTAGGAGCAGGCAGAGACCAAGAAAAGAACAAAAGAAACTAGAGGACTGGCAAACGGGGAGGTGAGGTGAATATAAAGGATAGGTAGGCAGAGTCAAAGAGCAGCAGGTGACTCAAATAAAGGTTAATCAAGGCGGTGTAAATCTAAGATTGGTGAGCGTGGCAAGATATAGGAAATAACTACAAAATAAAAGTTTAAACAGGAAGGGGATAATGACAGGTATGTTTTTATCACAGACTGTTATATATAAATAAATAAAGAGCAAAAATACAAAACGCTTGAAAATGTGGGCTTTATTTCTTGAAAGAAAATGACATTTAAAATAAAGTTACAATGAATTAATAAAGACATGTAGCATAATTCTTAGATACTAAAAACAGACCACTGCAAACTGCTCGATTTCCACATTTATATTAAAAACCGATTGTGTCGTTGATAAATTACAGAAAATGGCTGCTGAAAGGTTTACACATCTACAACAGGGTTAATGTTAATGTTCAGAATGACGAATATAAACGAACCAGACAATTCCTCAGAAACATATTTAATTCTATGCAGATGAGCTTGTCATTTCTAATGCAACAGTATTCTTAATAAAATTGGTTATTTTATCATATTAGCATTTTCTTTTACCTGTAGTAAGCACATGCAACCAACACTCAGCCCTAATCACTAAAAGTCATTTGTTCCACTGCAGATGTGTGAATGTTAAGGAGAGGTCTTGTCTCATTTTTACACCTCTCATCCACTTCACATTTTTGTTGGCATCTGCAAAAAAGAGATAAACAATTTGAAATAGATATTCAGATCTTATTAAATTTTAATAATTGTTAAATAATATATAGATTGATAAGTGCCTGGTTTGGCTGCTTGGGTTCATCCTGCTGGAGTGGTTGCATTGGGTCCTGGGACGGGAGAGGACTGGCATCAAATGCTGGATTCTGGGGGAAAAAAGAACAAAAAAACAAACTTTGTGAGAAAAAAAGAAAAACAGCCAGAATGAGTCAAACATCTTCAAAGCACATTGCAATGATTAAAAAATTTTTTAATTTTTCTCACATTCAGGGTTTGCTGGGGGAAATGTGGAAAAGGGTATTCAAATGGAAAAACCTGTGAAAAAAAAGGTTAATAAAATGTCTCCACAAAGAAACAAAAACCAGATAGAGATACACCGATTTTGAATAAAAAATGTATCTTACTGTATTCAGGACATGAGGGGCATTTGTCATCGGAGGGATGCTTTTTATTATCTGGAAAAAGTAAATAGATAACTTATTATTATACAGGTAAAAGAAATAATTTTATTTTTACATTATGCTATATGTAATATTTCAGTTTAAAGTTTAAAATGTTTACCTTTTGCTGAGCGAAGTCATAGGGGTAGTACTGCAAATGCAAGAGCACAAAATATCAATACATGTTTATTGTACCAAACATTCTCTTAAAAGCAGTGAAGTGTAAGAGGTGAGGGGGGGGGGGGGTGGGGGGGGGGGGGGGGTCACTTACGACTTCCACACTCTGTCTGCCAGGTGGCTGAGGAATGGAGACCTTCATAATTCCAAAAGTGGAATAAGGCTGTACAAGGAAGACAATAAAAAGGTAGTGAAGTGAGTTTTTAACCACTTTTTTAAAGAGAAAATTCCTATGTATGTTTACTTTACCTGGCCAGCATTTGCTCCACCGGCACCACCAGGAAATGTGTGTGGATAAATCTAAGAAAAAAAACAAAATGTACATAAGTGTTCTATAAATGTAATTCATAATCACTACATGAGCATTTCATTAAAACTTAATCTCAGTGAAATTGGTGTTTTCAAATAGAGTAAGAATGTGTGTGACATACATATTCCACACTATACCCGCCAGGCTGAGCAGCTGTAAAGGGGGTTTTCACCTGAATGGATGTAAAATTGTCAGAGTCATTAGAAAACAGTATCAGTATTTCTGCCCTGCTTTATTTCTGGGTCACAGAGAGCCCTTTCTCAGTAGTTTTGCATGTTATAATTTTTGCATGGTAAAAACAGCAACCTTCCACAATATATGTCCGTGATTACCTGTGAGGATGGCACCTGTTGTCTGGATGCTGCGTAATGAGGCATGTAATGAAAGGGGGACTGAAAATAAAACATTAAAGAAGAAAATAATAATCAAATTCTAGTCAAACCAACCAGAACTATGCCAGAAATGAGAGAATAAAGTTTCCACTGCATGGAAGCAGCATTTGTCTGTTAGTTTTAAACTTACTGGTGCAGCTGAGGCTGCCGTAGCCAGGCAGAGGCACAAGATGGCCAACTTCATTTTTGCAGACTGTCCGAGTTCTGCTGACATAAAACTCATCATTACAAATCACAAATTTCCAATCACAGTTACACTTGGATGACTGAGTTCTTCATTACACACCTTCTGCAGCAACAACACAGCTGGAGAGTCCGATGAATGCCGATGCTAGTGATGATGCCAGCTGACTATCTTCCACAGAGTTATGCTGGTTTTTATAAGGCTCCAGCTCACCTGAGAGCCAATCAAATTTGATGGGAGTGATAAACCAAATGAGTAGGTACAGGGGTCTAGTTTTCAGCTTTACTAAATGACCAGTGGTCACATTCACTTTCTGTGTAATAGCAGGCTATTTTTGATTACAGTCTAGAGAAAGCCTTGACCTGCTCCTCATTCTGCCATCCCAGCATTTCTATTGTGCCTGTTCTGCTATATCATAGCATAAATATCTGAAATGGTAAAATTATGTTTATGAAAAAGTAATTTTAAGTGTGATATTATTTGTTTTTCACCTGTTTACGTGTCCATTGTTCCCAAATCAGCAGAGCAACTTCACAAAAACAAGGCAGGCAACTGAGGATAAACTACTTTACCAAACTGAACATAAAATTAGAAACTCTAATGTTGTTGCTCTCGTTCATTTGAAACTTCTTTTGTGTATTAGTTTGGATGCTCTTCAGTACTAGTGGATGTGTGCTTGAGTTTAGCTGTAACTTTAACTTGTGAAGAACTATTCTTAAAGCCGATTTACAGAGTAACACATTGCAGTTTATGATTATCATAAAAAAAGGCACTGAACCCCAAGTTGCTCCCGACAGCAAGAGCAGCATCCTGCAGGAACAGTGCTGCCATCGGCCTGTGTGAGTGGGCGCCGCAGATGGCTGCCTCGGTTCTGTACCAGAGACAAATTCTTTGTCTGTGTAAAACATACTTGGCAAATAAAAGTGATCAGTTGTCCACAATAATACCAGAGTCAAATTCCTCGTGTGTCCGACACACCTGGCCAGTAAAGCTGATTCTGATTCTGATTCTGATAATGGTATTACAAAATGTGATTCATAATTTTACTTGCAATGACACAGTAATCTGAAACATGGGAATTTTAAAGTGGACTGAGTAAATATGTTTCTGTATGTATAATATCCATTAGATATGGTTATTTAAAGTAAAGAACCACAAGAGATTCAGTGAGTTCCATCTTCTGAAGCAACAAATTTCATTGAAAACATGTTGCTGTTTATCTCAGTGAAGTGACACACTCAAATCTCATTGCATGGCACCATCTTATCATTATAAGACACAAACCATTCTTTGCAATTTCCTTTTTCTTTAGAAAAGCAGACTACCGGTACTCTTTTTACATCAAACAGCAGAGCACCATTATACCCCTGAAAATGCCATCCATCATTTTCCTTTTGAAGACAGCACCATATTTTTCCAGAAGCAGCAGTGTTTTCTTGTCATTTTTCACTGGACTGCTGGTCTTTTAGCGCGCTCCACCTAAAGTGGAATAAAAAAAAAAAACACATCTGGACTGTTCTTATGGTGATAAAACTTTCATGTATCCAAAGACAGTCACTCCAACAGGAAAATCATATTAATATAATATAATGATCTTTTAATGGATTATTTTGGTAATGCATACAAGTCTGAAATATACACTAACACAGTGTGTGTGTACCTGAGTGTACCAGTATGCACACACCCTGTTGACTCTGATTTTTTTACTCCTCCTCCTCATCATCATCATCGCCATCTCTGGGTTTGGCAGCCTGAAATGACAGAGGCTTCTGATGAGCCAATCAGAAGTAAGGACAGTCTCTCGCATGTTTTGCTGTTGGGCTGATGTTTCTCAACAGCTCAGCAGAAAACAGTTTGAGGCCTGTTTCATTTATTAGAACAGCCCTATTGCCCTCATTACCACACCAGTTCAGTTTTAGTTTCCCACTGTACCTGCTGCAGTCATTTGAAGCTATTTTCTTACTTTAAAATTAGTCAAACCCTATAAATGGATGACAGCTGATGGTGTCTTACTGAAACTGGCTGAAAATGGCTCAAAATACAAATTCATACTTTAAAAAGTACCAGCAGCAATGACAGGTTTAACAGGTGCTGTGGGGGCAGCGGGGGCGGCAGCAGCAGAGATCATTAGTTAAATCATGACTCACAGCTACTTCTGTCAGCGTCATCAAAATCGGCAGAACCTCACCAGTTTTGTGGTGTTTATGCCATTTGAGTCTGGCATCGCCTGCTTTATGAAACCACGAACCTTGCCATGAAGGTACATGCATTATTCTGACGTTTAAATGTGGTGTCTGAAACAGTATTTTGTAGCATTAGATAAACTGTTAATCATCTTTCAAAGGCTGTCATTGCCTCTGAAAGTCACTGGATTAGGCACACCTTAAACTATCACATACAGGTCCTCCAACAGGGTATGTCTGAGCATCAACTGGAAACAGCTGGAAATGAACAGTTTTAATTATTTTGTTCTATTGTCTGTAAGCAATTTTGGACATCTGAGGTTTTCAATGTGCTCTGTAAATAGCGGTTAACTTGATGTTACTAAATTACCCTTCACATGAGTGTATGTCAGAAGTAAAAGGAACAAACAGCAAGTTAAGAACCTCGAAGCAGCTCAGTAAAAAAGACATTACAAATAGTGGTGAACAAATTTATGCAGAACTTATAAGGTGATTTTTGAAAATGTATGTGTCTTTTTTGTGTGTGTATGTCATGATATACTGTACACCAGCTGATCTGAGCTGTGTTTACTGTGCCTGAGCTGGAGCATAATGGATGTCAAACTCCATGAACCTTTGATACTGTAAAGAGGAAACACTGCAGCTAATTCCAGGTCAGTGTAAAATCAAGTTTTATTTTTTACAGTTGGGCAGAATCAGTAACCAGTGTGGTAATGAATGGGCACAGACAACCACCTCAAGGACACAGGCACCAATAGGGATGAATATCATTTTTTATTAAGCTGAACATTTTGAGTCATTACACTTTACAGCATAATCTGGTGGAACAGTAATTGATGACAGCTTGAAAATCCCTCTCTCAAACACCCAACACTGAGCCTGTGGAACCTAAAATCCATTAACTGGGAAGAAAATGTCTCAGCATTATGATCTGACAGCTGCTGTGCCCAAAACTCTTACATCGTGGCATTTATGGACAGAAAAACACCTATAGGTATTTATCCAGGTATCTCATAAAGGGGATGTTCAGGTTTATTCAAACAGTATTTGTGAGAAATATTCCAACTGTAAAAAAAAATAAAATAAAAACACAAGTGAATTTTAAAGACTAAGGACAATGTGTATTTTCTGGATGCATTTGAATCAAAAACTGCAGTTTTGAATGTATCTCACTGTATCAACATGATCATGATGTTCCTCTCAACTTTTAGCTAATTGTTTTAGTTTTATGGGCCCTGATTTTCTTGTTTGGCTTCACTCTCACTGCTCTCAGCCTGAGCAGGCAGCTGTGTTCAGCACCAAACAGCAGACAGACACCGTTTGTAACTAGATGGCGAAGGTAGTGGAGGATTTAACAGTTTGAGAACCAACTATTTTCCTCAGGGGCTGGTAGAGACCAAAACAGTACTAAAAGGGGAGTGAATGCTGGACTTAAATTTGTCCAGTTGCCAGAACACAGCTTGTCCTAATGTTACTTTGTGTCTGCTGGATGTGTAGCATGTTTATGTAAAAAGTTAAACTATGTCACTGTTGTGTTCACAGCTTGTTTTGTTTCTGCCAGGTGGCCCAAAAACAGTTAATGTGCTGTAGGTTTAAGATAAGAATGTATTTAAATCATGTTAAACAAAGGGTGTATGCTTTTGAAAAAAAGGAAAAGAGTTTAATCAACCTTTGTCAATTTTTATTACATATTTTTCACTGAAAAGAAAGAACAGTGATGCTAATACAATAAAATCCACAGTTAGTAAAAGGTTAAAATAAAAGATATTGCAAGAGAAACTTATCTTACGGTTTTCATTAATACCGTTTTATCTTTTCTTAGTATAAACTATCTCTGCTGGTGGATGCAGTTTCAGCCATGTGTGGGTTGGAGTTTGGGTTGAGCATGTGTTTGGACCGTGGCCACATCCTGTGCTGCTTGCTCCAAACCCGCTGGGACACTATTAGCATGCGGCTGTGGTTGACAGTTGGTCAGCCCCTGCGTCTGTGGGACTCCAGCTGACAGCATCCCACCGTTTGGCACTATACCCTGTTGCTCAGGGTTTGTAAGCCTGGTGGCCTGGCTCACAGGTTGAACAGCTCCTGTAGGCAGGTTTGTGAGGACTGTGGGCATGTACACACCCAGCTGGCCCACTTTACCTGCATTCTGAAACAGAGAAGGAAGGAAAGTGGTGAGGGAGAGGGAGCAGTTGCATCATCAGTGAGATCAATGAGTTCACTGAGCAGACTGTTTAAACAAGTTGAGAGATATAAAACTGTACCTCCAGCTCTTCTGAGCTAAGAGTGCCAGGTGGAGGGCTCTATTAAAGAATCATAGCACATGTCAAATAAAACACCATCAGAAAGAAAATTGGAAAATGAGAACAGATCATTAATCATGTTAACATCCAGGTTTACAACGAACACTTTGTAGTTACCATGCGTTGCTGGACCATGTATATAATTTGTGGATTCTGTGGATGCAATTTAGACAGTTTGATTATTAAACAACTTTTGTTCTTCCTTCAATTGAACCATTTTTTGAAGTAGTGCTTACAAAATGACAGTAAAGACACCTGTTGCTGCTGCACTGTCTGAGGTGCCTCTCCTGAAGGAGCAACCCCCGGGGGTGTTCCTGCAGGTGACACAGGATTGTATGGAGGTTGATTTGCTGGAGTTGGTGGCAGAGATGTATTAGGAATTGCTGGGTATCCAAATGGGGAGAACTGAGGGAGAGAGAGGGAAAAAAGACATTTACATTTTAATTTTTGTCAACACTTTCTGAAGCAAGAGAAGGCAAAAATAGTTCAAACACTGCATAAGACAAATTTTAAAAAACTCATGCAAGACAACATAAATCAGTGGACAGAATGTACACACTGTATGTAATGAAGGAGTTTCAGGTCGCGTCAGTTTTCCTATACTGTATAGTTAAAAAAAACCAGCAGAAATATGTTCGACTCCCCCAAGCTACATTCTTCCAACCTGGGTTCTGCAGTCAGTAGCAGCACAGACAGTCCTATTTGCAGTTCATTGAAAGATCTGTTTCCAACCACAATGTGATACTAAATACTGTAATATATTACCGGTTGATTGCTATGTGGTGATGAATATACAGGGACGTATCCATAAGGAGTGGCAATCTGAAAACAGCAGCAAAACAAGCAAAATTAACTTGAAGTTATTATACATTATGGATGACAAAATGGTAAAACAATTTTAAAGATGTGTTAAATACTTGTATATTGTTTGGTTGGCTCTAATATTTTCTCTAGATTTTATATACACATCTATATATATTTACTTATGTCCTACCAGAGGCTGCTGTGGGACGGCTGGCTGGTTAGCAGGCAGAAATCCATAGATGTTTGGCTGTAGGGGGATGATCACTGGACTGCCTCCTATTGGAGACCAGGTGTACTGATGCACTGAAGGAACAATCTGGGGGCCACCCTGAGGAGTCAGCAGCTGGGGGGCCGCAAGCTGTGGTTGCTCCACATTGGGGGTAAACGGAGCTGGAGTCTCAGCTTTCTGGTTCGTCGCTGCATCAGGCTGAACTCTTTCAGCTTGAGTGGCTCCTCCTTGTGACTGTAGGGGAGGAAGGGCGTTAGGATGGACAAGGAAAGAAAAAAAGAAAAACCCTGAATTGATCATTATCACAGCAGATCTCACATAGTGTGAGGTAAATTTGAACTTAATATAGACCAATAACAAATGAATAATACATACAAAAAAATATTAAGTATTGTACTCACTGGTACTGCAGACACCATTACGGTAAAAAATGAAAATAGGATTACAATAATCATTTCCAAAAATAAAATAAGAGTCAGTTGACTTTTGGATGAGTTGCACAAGATCAATGAAAGCTGTCAAAGAATGTCCACTTAGAGCACTAAGAGTAACGTCAATGAAACTGCACAGAGGAGAGCCCTGACTTATGCGTTGCTCACAGAGTGAAACAACCAATCACACAACAGAAAAAGCAGACAAATTCAACTTAATCTTTTAGTGTGAATGAAGCAATGGGTTAGAAAGCAAAGAAAATCCACTGAATATGCTAAACTGCCTGTTTTCCTTCAATTATCCTGCTGTCATGTCTGCAGAAGTGAGTAAGCAAACACACAGGAACCCAGACCACCTGTGGGCGCGGCTGATGTGTCAGGGTTTCACCGTTGTAATTATGGTCAAAGCAAATCTGTTTAATGTGCAACAAAACTGAGAACAAAGATGAATAAGAGAACTGTAGAAAAGCTGGTTTCAGTCATGGATCTCTCAGCATCACATTCACAATATAAAATAGCATTAAACTAGTCTATTTAGTTGTTGCCTATGTCACTAATACAACAGTGTTGTTTTACACTGTGAATGTGAGGTCCAACTGTGGTCTAGCTCTAATAAATGTAGTGCTGACAGAGTGTGGGAATCCTCCTTTTTCACTAGTCAATTTAACTTTAATGATAAGATGCAGACACAGCGGAAACTTAAGGGTAAATAAATTACACAAACCATCATTAAAACTTTAGGAGAATCTTTAATTTGACTTAATTGCGTGGTGCACTTATGCTAGTGTTGCACAGTGTCATGCAAATTGCTAGGGCAAACCTATGGCCTTGTCACTAAATGGTGTTTGGATGTTTTCTCTTTTCAGCTGGACAGTCAGAGATGGCAAATATTCAAAAGTACACAACAGAGCAGGACAAAGCTGGAGGGATGGAGATTTGTTTGCTTTTTCCTATCAACCAAGGATCTAAATGTCATCCTAGAATGGCAGTCCACACTTTAACAGCCTGAGGTTTCACTGCTATGGGTGTTAAAGAACGCACTCATCTGATATACAGTAAGTAGTCCTACATGGTGTCGAGTCATCAGATATTTAGTTTAAGGTTTCTAGTCAGAAGTCAACTAAACATTAAAAGGCAGCGAATGTTTAAATATGTCAAATGTCAAATAAATTAGAAAACATGTTTCCTGTATCTTCTTTGATCGTACTGAATTACAGATGTTTCTTAAGCCCAACCCAGGATGCACCGTGAGCCATTCATTCATTTATATTCACAGGTTAACTCAGACGATCTTCTCTTTTGGCAACACCATTTAATGAAATACAGTTACATATGAGATATACAGAGAGAATTCATTTGCTTTTGGAGACTTTCTGTTATGGCACACAGAACACATGCTACTATTATAA